ACACAGTAAGAACCCTTCTAGGCAGAGCCCAGGTAGGGAAAAACGTGCGGAGGAGAAGGTCGAGGAAAAGGAGGAGGAAGACGAACGTGAGGAGGAGGAGTGAGGGGAGGAGGAGCAGGAGGAGGAGGAGGAGGAGGAGGAGGAGGAGGAGGAGGAACTGCAGGGCCACAAAACCATGCTATTCACAGTGTCGTTTGTTCTGTTGGTCAGTGATACCACGAAACACTGCTGTTCAAATGATTTGTTCCCAACCATCCTGTGGTGTTGGGTCCTCGTTTTGAAGAGACGGTGCCCCGCGTTCCTCTCCTTCCTCCTCCCCCTCCTCCCCCTCCTTGCCTCTGCTCTCGGCACACCTCTCACGCGTTTCGTAGCCCCATAGGGAGCTCCACCGAAGGCCCCAGTGGGGGTGTTCGCATGCGGTTCGTTTCGTTCGCATGCGGTTCCCCCACCCCCATTTTCGTAGCCCCATAGGGAGCTCCACCGAAGGCCCCAGTGGGGGTGTTCGCATGCGGTTCCCCCACCCAGGGCAGCGTTTCGTGGCCCCATAGGGAGCTCCACCGAAGGCCCCAGTGGGGGTGTTCGCATGCGGTTCCCCCACCCAGGGCAGCGTTTCGTAGCCCCATAGGGAGCTCCACCGAAGGCCCCAGTGGGGGTGTTCGCATGCGGTTCCCCCACCCAGGGCAGCGTTTCGTGGCCCCATAGGGAGCTCCACCGAAGGCCCCAGTGGGGGTGTTCGCATGCGGTTCCCCCACCCAGGGCAGCGTTTCGTAGCCCCATAGGGAGCTCCACCGAAGGCCCCAGTGGGGGTGTTCGCATGCGGTTCCCCCACCCAGGGCAGCGTTTCGTAGCCCCATAGGGAGCTCCACCGAAGGCCCCAGTGGGGGTGTTCGCATGCGGTTCCCCCACCCAGGGCAGCGTTTCGTGGCCCCATAGGGAGCTCCACCGAAGGCCCCAGTGGGGGTGTCCGCATGCGGTTCCCCCACCCAGGGCAGCGTTTCGTCATCGTGCGGCCCACCCGCAGGCCCCAGTGGGGGTGTTCGCATGGCCCCATAGGGAGCTCCACCGAAGGCCCCAGTGGGGGTGTTCGCATGCGGTTCCCCCAGGGCAGCGTTTCGTGGCCCCATAGGGAGCTCCACCGAAGGCCCCAGTGGGGGTGTTCGCATGCGGTTCCCCCCAGGGCAGCGTTTCGTGGCCCCATAGGGAGCTCCACCGAAGGCCCCAGTGGGGGTGTTCGCATGCGCCCCATAGGGAGCTCCACCGAAGGCCCCAGTGGGGTGTTCGCATGCGGTTCCCCCACCCAGGGCAGCGTTTCGTAGCCCCATAGGGAGCTCCACCGAAGGCCCCAGTGGGGGTGTTCGCATGCGGTTCCCCCACCCAGGGCAGCGTTTCGTGGCCCCATAGGGAGCTCCACCGAAGGCCCCAGTGGGGGTGTTCGCATGCGGTTCCCCCACCCAGGGCAGCGTTTCGTAGCCCCATAGGGAGCTCCACCGAAGGCCCCAGTGGGGGTGTTCGCATGCGGTTCCCCCACCCAGGGCAGCGTTTCGTGGCCCCATAGGGAGCTCCACCGAAGGCCCCAGTGGGGGTGTTCGCATGCGGTTCCCCCACCCAGGGCAGCGTTTCGTAGCCCCATAGGGAGCTCCACCGAAGGCCCCAGTGGGGGTGTTCGCATGCGGTTCCCCCACCCAGGGCAGCGTTTCGTGGCCCCATAGGGAGCTCCACCGAAGGCCCCAGTGTGTTCGCATGCGGTTCCCCCACCCAGGGCAGCGTTTCGTAGCCCCATAGGGAGCTCCACCGAAGGCCCCAGTGGGGGTGTTCGCATGCGGTTCCCCCACCCAGGGCAGCGTTTCGTGGCCCCATAGGGAGCTCCACCGAAGGCCCCAGTGGGGGTGTTCGCATGCGGTTCCCCCACCCAGGGCAGCGCTTCGTGGCCCCATAGGGAGCTCCACCGAAGGCCCCAGTGGGGGTGTTCGCATGCGGTTCCCCCACCCAGGGCAGCGTTTCGTGGCCCCATAGGGAGCTCCACCGAAGGCCCCAGTGGGGGTGTTCGCATGCGGTTCCCCCACCCAGGGCAGCGCTTCGTGGCCCCATGGGGAGCTCCACCGAAAGCCCCCGTGGCGCAGTTCGCATGCGCTTCCCCCACCCAGGGCAGCGTTTCGTGGCACCATAGGGAGCTCCACCGAAGGCCCCAGTGGCGCAGTTCGCATGCGGTTCCCCCACCCAGGGCAGCGTTTCGTAGCCCCATAGGGAGCTCCACCGAAGGCCCGCCCCGGTGGCGCAGTCCGCATGCGGTTCCCCCATCCAAGGCAGCGCTTCGTGGCCCCATATGGAGCCCCACCGAAAGCGGCACCCACAACGCGTTACCAACAATTGCTTATGGTTGGGTCTTTCGCCAGGATAATTGTTTTTTTTTCAGAGGTCTGCAAACTTCGCTGGCGATGGTCGGTGCCGAAGAACAACGGAAAAACCTGTGAATCGCAGTGTTTGGTGGCCTGGTGGCGAGGAAACCATGCTATTATTCATAGTTTTTTGGAAGGGATGGGGTTTCAGCGGGAACCAAAAAAACAAAAAACATGTGAATAGCAAGGTTTGGTGGCCTGGTGGCGAGAAAAACACGCTATTCACATGTTTTCTTGGTTTTCTCCGTCTACCAGCTTCCTGGCGAAGTTTGCAGACCTCTGAAAACCAAAACCCCCAAAAACATGAAAATAGCAGTGTTTCGTGGTATCAGTGACCAAAAAATACGTGAATAGCAAGGTTTCGTTGCAGCTCTTCTCCCATAGGCCTTTTTGGAAGAGAAGCAAGAGGAAGAGGAGAGGGGGGAGGATGAGGAGGAGGACGAGGAGGAGGAGGAGAACGAGGAGGAGGAGGAAAGAGGAGCGGAGAAAGAAAATGAGCAGGAGGAGGGAGAGGAGGAGGAACGGAAGCGAAGCGAGAAAAATATTGAACGTAAGGATAGGGCTTCACGGGGTGCTGGGGGGGGGCTGACCATATATATATATATATATATATATATATATATATATATATACAGAGAGAGAGAGAGAGAGAGAGAGAGAGAGTGAGGGAGAGAGAGAGAGAGAGAGAACAGCAAAAAACAAAACATGAGAAAGAGAAACATAGAGAGGGAGAGAGAGAGAGAGAGAGAGAGATCGCGCAGCATAGGTTGGATGAACTGGACCCAGAGTGTTCCAAAAGAGCCTCCAGCAAGGCCCGAGGAGGCCAACATCGTTGACTCCCCGTGTGTGTTGTGAATAAAATCGCATCCTCGCCTTTTCAAGCTTGCGTCGGCTCAAGACGGCCCAAGAGGCCTCCAAGATGGGCCCACGACGGCCCACGGGAGCCTCAAGATAGCCCAGGAGGTCTCAAAGACGGCCTTCAGACAGCTCAAGATGGCACCGATACAGTCCAGGACGTGTTCAAGAGGGCTTCACATTGGCCCCAAAGGCGGACCCCTGTACGGCCTAAGAGCACCCCTGGACGGCGACAGGATAACCCAACGACCTCCCAATAATATCACGAAGGCCCCAAAAGAGCGCAAGACAGCCCAAGAGAGCCTCAAGACGGCCGAAGAGGGTCCCAAGGGAATCCCCAGACGGCCTCTCAAGAACTCGGGACAAGCCACTGACGCCACATTAACGCCACGGGTCACAAAAGCCCACGGGTCACATCACGTTGACAGGCAGCCCATGGAACCCCGCACGAAGCTCCAAACATCTCTTTTCAAATGGGCCGCAATGCCATACATAACATGAACCCGTGCCCCGTCGAAGGGTCGAAGCCAAACATGTTGGGCTGGCACGGTGGCGGGCATTGCCGCAGGCAGCTGGAATCATACAAATGTTACCATACAAACATATACATAACCCATCGATCCATCCATCTGTACATACAACCATATACAAGCATACATACCTATACACTCATACATATATACATACATACATACATACATACATACATACATACATACATGCATACATACATCCATACATACATACATACATACATACATACATACATACATACATGCATGCACACATACATACACATATACACACATACACATACACACATACATACATACATACATACATACAAACATACATGCATACATACAAACATACACACATACATACATACATACATACATACATACATACATACCTACATCCATACATACATACATACGTGCATGCATGCATGCACGCATCATGCATGCAATCATACATACATGTGCATGCCGCATCCCCGACAAGTCTACATTCGGCACGTCACCAGCACTAAGAGTCATGAGAGGCAGAGGAGGAGGGAGATAATCAAAGCCATGAGCGAAACGCGCGTGCCTGTATCCCGTCATTGCTGCTGATCGCCTCGACCATCCCTGGTCTTTCTCCTCAGAAAGCGGTTACCCTAATTCGGGGGCGCGCAAGCATGGAGTAGCGATCTATGGATTTGGCGCGAGGTCGCCAAATCCATGGATCGGAGGAGGTGCCCTCCCGAAAATGCAGCTGGTGCCGCCTCGCTCGGCGGCAGAAATCCGCCGTCGTTTATCCACGCCCCCTTGATCAATGTTTGCGATCGCCTGACTAAAGCCCTCTGTGGGGGTCCAAAGACACCAACGACGACGAACACGACAACGACAATCCCGACTACGACAACGCTGACGACGACGGCGACGATGGCGGGCGTGACCCCAACGGAAAGGTCACACGGGCGTGTCCGCGGGGGTTGAGTGCACCTAGGGGCCACCATGGCTGCGCCATGGCCGTCAGATTTTTGTTCAGCCGTCACTCGCAACCTTCGTTGCCAACGTCGGACTATCTCCGCTATAGCCCGCTACAAATGTTATTTCCCCTCCACCGCCTCCCTCCTCGCCTCCTCCTCTATCTCCCCCTCTTCCTCGGCCCCCACCTCATCCCTATCCTCTCCCGCCCCCTCCTGCTCCGGCTGCAGCGGCAGTGGCGGCCGCGGAGACCACAGAGGCAGGAGCAGAGAGGGTCCTCGAGGGCGCCCTGGGCAGTGCCCTCGGCGGCCGCACTGCGCAGAGCTCTGGCCTCAGGCTGCTGGCTGGCGAACCACTTGGCCAGCTCAAACGCTTCCGCGGGTGTCGGAGACTCCGCGTCCTCCGGCGCGCCATCCACTCGGGCCGGACGAAAGGGGGGGATAGCAACGGGGGGGGGGTGAGAATCAGCTCGCGTAGCTGATTTTCCCGGCGCCTCCCGGCGCCGGAGGCACCCGTGCATCGAGGAATGGGCCTGGCGGCGGAGCCGAAACCAGCTGCATGCCGCAGATCTCGTAACCCCTCCTTTCCCTATATTAGGGGGGCGCAAGACCCGGGTACAGAGGACTCGGAAATCCCCGACGAGGTCGTCAAAAAAATGACGAGGCCGAGCCTGCATTTTGACGAGGCCTCCCGCTGCAGACATCCCACGAAACTCCTACTCGTCAAAATCCGAGTCGCGGTCGTCAAAACACGATGGCGAACCCGAGTCCTGGCAAACCCGGGTCTTACGCTCCCCCGACTATACCCCCCTTTCGTTCGGCCCGATCCACGCAAGCAGCGCCCTGCCCAGCGATCGCCCCCGCGCCCCTCGCGGCGTCGCCCTCGGGCCGCTGGCCGGCGAACCACCTGGCCAGGTCGAAGGCGCCGGGCCCCGAGGCCCCCGGGGACGCCGCGCCCGCGGGCGCCGGGGCAGCTGCCAGGTCGCCCGGCCCCGCCTGCTGCGAGGCGGGGGCTTCTCCATACCCACCGCCTGGGAGCCGACGCATTGGTGCCCCAGCGGGCGGTGGATATGGATATGGATATGTATGTATATATGTATATATATGTATGTATACGCTTATACATATATATACATATATATATACGTTTATATATACATATATATATATATATATATATATATATATATATATGTACAGGGCTGCATTGGCGCTGCGCGCCATGCACCTTGGTCCTCTGAGTTTCGCACGCAAGCGCGGTGTGGGCGTGCGTACATGCGCGCGTGCATGTATACACGCGCACGCGCATGCACGCTCTGCACGTAGATCTATGTGAATACCACACATGTATACTGTTCTAGATGTGCATACATATTACATATAAACATGTGTATGTACATGTTTATGTCAATCGCAGGTGTTTGTTGGCGCACGCACCTATACGAAATTATGGGTGCGCGTACACATGCGCATCTCAGGCGAATGGCCTGACCGCCTGCTCAAGGCATCTCGCAACTCAGAGGTGCGAGGGTCTCAAGCGGAAGTAACCAGACTACTACAGGGCAATGCATATCCGCTGTCAGCGTTGCGAGGATGTTTCAAGCGAAAATGAACTGACCACCTCAGCTGACGACATATCCGAACCCGGAATTGCAAGGATGTCTCAAACGAAAATGGCCTGAACAGCTCAGCTCAGGGCATCCCTGAGTCCAAAGTTGCGAGGATGTCTCACATGAGAATGGCGGACTACTCTGCGGCAGGGCATCTCGGAATCCAGAGTGGCGAGGATGTTCCTAGCGAGAACGGCCGGAACACCTCAGCTCAGGGAGCCCCGGAACCCAGAGTTGCGAGAAGGTCTCTAGCGGATGTGGCTGGACAACCTTGGGGCAGGGCTTCTCTGGGGTCAGAGCTGCGAGGATGTCTCAACCGACAGTGGGAAGGAGGAAGGCGAAGGGAAAAAGTAATGGGATGAGTCCCGCGGACCCGGGGATCGGCAGGCACGAACGCTCAGGATCGGAAGTCATGGCATGGAGGCTGGAACTGACGCGGATGCAAGACGCTGGGAGCTGGCCTCCGAGAGCGTTGAAAGACAGGAGGACCTGAGAGGGACTCAACGACGGGCGCCGCCAGAACCTTTGGGAAACATCTGGAGGCCTTGTGAACGTGTCGGAGTGCTACGTGTCTGATTGCGGCAGGGCGTATCCAAGGTTGACGTTGCGAGGATGTCTCAGGCCAAACTGGCCCGAGCACTATGGGGCAGGGCATCTCTGAAGTCAGCTGTGCGAGGGAGTCTCAAGCGAAGAATGGTCTGAACACCTCAGGCCGGAAGGTCGAATAATCCCCTTGCAAGAGCGTCCGAGCAGCCCCCGGGGAGCTTCCCAGCAGGTCGAGCTGCCCGGAAGGGGCTTCCCAGCAGCCCGTGGAGTCCGAAATGCGTTCGGGGGGGATGTGTGTGTGTGTGCACATGTGAACTTATTTTGCGTATGTATACATGTGCATGTGTATGTATGTACGTATGGATGTCAAATGACAACGCCTTCCAACGTCTGAACGTCCCAAGAGCGTGTGACGCTCGATGCACACGGTAATATATTGTTACACGATGTCTACATCCGTGCAAGACTTGCTTTGCAAGGAAATTCCATGTAAAACGCTCTTTGGCCGTCTTGGGCCCTTAGTGGCCCGAAAAAGCGAAAACCGAAAAAACCTTCAAACCCTTTCAACAAATCAATGATGAATTTTGCCTCTTTGGGCCTTCTTGGGGGCCCTTTTGGGCCGTTTGGGGACTCTCTTGGGCCGTGTTGGGGCCTTTTCGGGCCGTCTTCGGGCGTCTTGGAGGCCTTCGGCCGTCTTCGGGCTGTCTTGGGGGCCTCTTGGAGCCCTCTTGGGAGCCTCTTGGGGTGCTCCTGAGGCTCTCTTGGGGCCGTCTTGCGGCTCCCTTGGTAGTTTTCGGGCCCTCTTGGGCCATCTAGGGGCCCTCTTGGGTCGTTTTCGAGCCCTATTGGGGACCTCTGGGGCTGTGTTGGGACGATCTTTGGAGCCTCTTGGGCCGTCTTGGGCCGTTCTTGCCCCGGAAAAGCGAGAACCGAAAAAGCCTTCAAAAACAATCGAAAAATCCATGAAGTGTGCCTCTTCGGGCCATCTTGGGAAGCCTCCTGGAGGCCTCTTGGGGCGTTCGGAAGCCATGTTGAAGGTATTGGTGCGCTTTGGAACTGTGAACTGTCGACGAGCTGTCTTGGGGAATAATGGAGGCCTCTTTGGACCTTCCGAGAATGCCGGACGCCCGAAGGAACCCTTTGCAAGGGCGTCCGAGCAGCCCCGGGGGGGCTTCAAGCAGCCCAGGGAGTCCGAAATTCGTTAGGTGTGTGGGGGGGGGGGCGCTTTTTCCAGGGTCCCCGGCCCTATGAAAATACTTAAATAGGATTCTATATACACACATGAATGTGTAAACATATATCTTCATATCTTTGGCCCCCAGGGATCCGAATGCATCCATATCATATCCACCGCCTGTGGAGGTCTGCGAGGATCGATTTCACAGGCGGTGGCTATGGATAGATCCCCGCCTCGGACCTGCACCGCCGCGGCTCGCGAGGGCGGCCGCTGCGCCGCAGCCGCGGCCCCCTCGCGGGCCCCGTCATCGGCGGCCAGGGTCGCTGCTAGGTCGCCCGACCCCGCCTGCACAGCCACGGCCCACAGGACCGGCCGCTGCGCTGCGGCCAGGGCCTCTCGGGCGGGTGGCAGTGGGGGGGGATCCAACCGGGGGGCGAAGAGAAGGATTCCAAAGGGGCCTTCTGGGGCCCCTTTTGGAGCCAGCTGGTGCCCCAAAAGGGGGCCCTAACGGGCCCCTTCGGGGCCCTTTCCCTTCACCCCCCGTGTGCAGGTCCCCCCCCGTTCCGGCGACTCCAAGGGGTGTGGTTCGCAAAGGGTGTGGTTTGCGACCGGCACCCTGGGGAACATCCTGGGGGGCACCTTGGGGGGCACGCGGGGACCTGGATAGAGCTCTCCCGCGCCCCGAGGAGGCCCGACGAGGACAGTGTCGTGCCCCCCCAGGCCCCAACGGTGCCGATCGCAAACCACACCCCGGCGTAACCCCAGGAAGCATTTAAGAACCCCCCCCCCCTCCGGCAAATCGATAACCCTTCCGCACCCTGGAAGCGTTACCTGGCACCAAGAGCCCTCCCTGTGTCCGTGTGCTAAAGCTATCGTTCGGTTATTTCGGCCCCTCGGAATATCGAATAAAAAATGCGGTGCTACGATATCGCCGGGGGGGTTCTTAAATGCTTCCTGGGGTTAACCACCCCCTTTGCAGTCGCCGACCGTTGCGACCAGCCCGAACCTCCTCGCGGGCGCGCTCCTCGGTGTCTTCGTTTTGGCATTTTTGCATAATTCTAGCTGGGTAATCCATGGCTATATTAAACAAATAAAAACATATTCCCGATTCTGATTTCGGCATCCAAAACCAAATTCAGAGGAATATCCCCCCCGTGCGCAGGTTCCCCCCCGTTGCCACCCGCCCGAACCTCCTCGCGGGCGCGCTCCTCGGTGTCCCGGGCCCGCTGCTCCGCCAGCCGGACGAGCAGGGCGCCGTCCTCCACCACGCGGGCCACGCGCTCCTCCGACGCGCCCTGCGCGGGCAGGCGCGCAAGAGTGGGGCCCTGGGCGGGCGCGCGCGGCCTCTTCGGAGCGCGGCTCGGCGGGAGAGGGCGGGGTGGCCAAACCCAGGCGCGCAAACCGCTGCCATACCGCTTCGCGCTCAGCGATCGGAGGGCACCATGCGGCAGCGAGCGAAAGGAGGACATTAGACCTGGGCCGGCACGGAAACGGAAAGAGCGCCTCAAACACATTAACCGAAGTTACTCACACCACCGTTCGTACTGGGAGGCTTGGCGTTGAGAGCTTGTTACGTCACCCCTCGCTCCTCCTCCTCCTCCTGCTCCTCCTCCTCCTCCTCTTTCCCCTCCCCCTCCTCCTCCTCCTCCTCCTCCTCCTCCTCCTCCCCCTCCTCCCGCCTCCGCCTCCGCCTCCTCCTCCGCCCGCCTCCGCCTCCGCCTCCGCCTCCGCCTGCGCCTCCGCTCCTCCTCCTCCTCCTCCTCCTCCTCCCTCCCGCCTCCTCCTCCTCCTCCTCCTTTCCTCCTCCTCCCTCATCATCTTCCTCCCCTCCTCCTTCTACCTCCCTCCTCCCTGGGCCTCGTCCTCGTTCCTCCTCCTCCTCCTTCTCCTCCTCCTCCTCTCCCTGCTCTCCCTCCTCCTCTCCTCCTCCTCCTCCTCCCCTCCTCTCCCCTCCTCCTCCTCCTCCTCCACCTCCTCCTCCTCCTCCTCGTCTTCCTCCTCGTCTTCCTCCTCGTCTTCCTCCTCGTCTTCCTCCTCGTCTTCCTCCTCGTCTTCCTCCTCGTCTTCCTCCTCGTCTTCCTCCTCCTCCTCCTCCTCCTCCTCCTCTTCCACAATTACACAATATGAAAATACTCTCCCACTTCCCCTGATGGCGTCCCGAAGATGGCCGACCCCCCCCGCGTACTTTTTTTTACACACAGGATTCCCGGGAAACGGGTTTTCGCCTGCGTTTTTTTCAAAATGCTGCTCTCGCTGAGGCGCCGGCCTCATTTCTGCTCCCGAATCGTTCCGAATCGTGCTCCCGCTGCAGCGTGGGCCTCATTTTCGGATCGGTGTTTGGCCTCCGTCGTTCAGGATGGCGTTCTCGCCCCAGCGCGGGCCTCTTTCTCGCGCGCCCATCCGCCCGCCACCACCACCACCACCACCACCACCACCACCACCACCACCACACAACCACCACCAGCACCAGCACCACCACCACACACACCAGCACCAGCACCAGCACCACCACCACCACCACCACCACCACCACCACCACAACCACGCACACACGCACGCACGCACGCACGCACGCGCACCACCACCCACTACGCACGCGCGCGCGGAGCCACAGGTCCGCTACGACACGCGTCCGCGGATAGAGAAAATCAGCGCCATGGTAAGGGATGGGAGGGAGGGGTAGGACGTCAGATATGACGCGAGCGCACCTAGCTTGTCCCCCTCCCCCTCCCCCTCCTCCTCTTCGGGCGCGCTGGGGATCCAATTGGGGCCCCTTTGGGCTCTCTTAGGGCCCTCGGGGCCTTCTTGACCGTATTGGGGCCGTCTGGGGGCCATCTTGGGCCGTTTGGGGCCCCTTTGGGGCGCCTCTGGGGCCGTCTTGGGATGATCTTTGGGGCCTCTTAGGCCGTCTTGGGCCCGTCTGGGGGCCCTCTTGGACCGCTATTGGCCCGTCTGGGGCCGTTTTGGGACGATATTTGGGGCCTGGGCCGTCTTGGACCCGTCTGGGCAAGAAACGGGCCATGGGACCCGCCCGGGAGCCGCTTCACTACAAAAAATACAAGGGAAACGAACTATTAGACCAGGCGTCTGCGCCTCGCACCCTCCCTTGACCCCCCCTTACAAGGGCTTCGCCCCCTACTCAACGTCACTCGCTCGTACCTCGCTCTTTCCGTCACCCAGAAGGCCTTCTCAGAAGGCGGCAGGACTTCTCGGGAGCCCTCCGGCCTTCTGAATGTTTCTGTTACGTCTTCGGGGACTTCTCAAAAGGCCCAGGCCTTCTGAGAAGGCCCGTGCCTTCTCACTTCCCCCTCTCGCCCGCGGCCGCCCGCCGCCCCCTGGGACATCATAAAGGAACAACAAAAACTGCATCGACATAAACTTTTGGTGCTCCGCGCGCATTTCTGGGATCTGCGCTAGGACCACCCTCCCTGTCGCGCTCCGCGCGCCAGGGGCGGCGCCAGAGGAGTCGCCACTGGGGTCCCAGCGCAGATCCAAGAAAATCGCGCGGAGCGCCAAAATTTTATGTTCATGAATGTTTTATGAATTCGGGAAAGGTTTAGAAACATTATCAGAAGGCCGGGGGGACTTCCGAGCCTTCCGAGAAGGCCCGCCACTTATCACTTCCACCCGTCGCTCGCCGCGGACTTCGGTCTCCGGGTCACGACTCTGCTCTCCAGCGGCCGTTCGGGGCGATCCGGGCAACCCCCAGAACGCTCTCGGCGAGGCGCATCTGTTGGCACGCACCCCGAGGCCAAGAAACCGCCGATAACCACCGAAGATGACAGAAACCCGTGAAAATCTCAACCCGAAACTTCCAGACCTTCCCCCCTGGGGCCCGCCGCCGAACCACTGGTGCCCTAGAGGCCTCCTAGATGGGGTCGGAGTAGACGGGGTCGGAGGATCGAGCCGCAGCGCCGATGCATCGTCGATGCATCGGCGATGCATCGCCGACGTGGGCGATGCAACGGCGACGCCGACGCGAAGCAAATCAGGCCCCACATCGAGCCGCACTGCCGACGCATCGGCGACGCGGCGCGATCCTCCGACCCCATCTTAGATAAGGGACGTAAGACCTGGGTACAGGGGACTCGGAAATCCCCGACGAGGTCGTCAAAAAAATGACGAGGCCGAGCCTGCATTTTGACGAGGCCTCCCGCTGCAGACATCCCACGAAGCTCCTCCTCGTCAAAATCCGAGGCGCGGTCGTCAAAAAACGATAGCGAACCCGAGTCCTGGCAAACCCGGGTCTTACGCCCCCCCGACTATACCCCCCGTTCGTTCGGCCCGATCCACGCAAGCAGCGCCCTGCCCAGCGATCGCCCCCGCGCCCCTCGCGGCGTCGCCCTCGGGCCGCTGGCCGGATCTACTACGACCCCCTTACGCCCCTTACGCCCCCCGAATCTACTACGACCCCATCTGGGAGGCCTGGAGGCACCGGAGGTCCCTGCGGCGAGAAGGCCACGCCGGGGTCCGGGCGGCCTGCGCCCGCTCCGCCGCCTCCGCCCGCCGCTCCGCCAGCTGCACGAGGCGCTGGCCCTCCGCCACGGCGAGCGCCACCTCTGCAAGGCAGGAACTTTGATCCACACCCCCCTCCCGGGGAACCGACGTCCTGGGGGCCCAGCGGGGGGGCGATATGCTGATATATATATATATATATATGTACATGTATATATATATATGTATATATATGTGCATGTATTTAAGTATATATATATACATGTGTATACATACACATACATACATACATACATACATACATACATACATACATACATACATGCATACATAGTACATACATACATACATACATACATACAGGCATACATATACATTTATGTGCATATATCCGCACATATACTCATACTCCATATACTGTACAGATATACTATATACTGAAACGAGACTTGAACGACGCATACGCGAACTATACGAGTATGTATATATATATATATATATGTATGTCCGCATCTATAAACATACGTTTACTTATATACCATACCGCAGATCGAGACACACTATTATGCAGCATATACGTAACATCGGATATGTTTGTGCACGCATGCGTTTATATTTATAAGTATATAGACAAGCATACACACACGTTGACGCATACATATATATATATATATACATATATATATATGTATAGACACTAGAACCATCGCGCGCGCTTCGCGCGCGCTTTGGTTCTAGCCGAGATCGCGGCAAGGCCCTGGCAGAAGTATCAAGGCAGGCCTTTTCTTATGTGTATACTTATACATACATACGTCCGTCCTTCTCCTCCCCCCCTCCTCCTTCTCCTCCTCCTTCTCTTATTCCTCCTCCTTCGTCCTCTTCCTCCTCCCCTTCCTCGCCTGTCTCTTTCCTCCGTTTCCTTAGTTCCCTTCCTTCTCCTCCACCACCTCCTCCTCCTTCCTCAGTTGCTTCTGCTCCTCTTACGCGCCCTTCTCCTCCTCCTCTTCCCTCTCCTCCTTCTCCTCCCCCTCCTCCTCCTCCTCCTCCTCCTCCTCCTCCTCCTCCTCCTCCTCAAGGTCCTCTGCCCTTCCTCCCGCCCCCTTCCCTGGTCCGGGCGCCCACCGATCCGGGCGCCCTCCCCGCCCCAGATACCTCTGGGAAACGTGGGCCCCACGACCCTTGAAGTCGCCCCCAGGAGCCCTCCGAATCCTTCGGTCTCTGGGCGCTCCTGACCTCTGGGATCGAAGATCCTCGATCGCGGCCCCACGACCCATCGGCTTCCGAGACTCTTCGGCCCCGCGACCCGCGGAGCGACGAAGAATGACACGCGGCAGAAGCAAGGGGGGGGGGGGGAAGTAGAGGGGAAGCAGGAGGAGGCGGAGGAAGAAGAGGGAGAGGAACAGGAATAAGAGGAAGAGCAGCCAGAGGGGGAGGATCAGAGGAAGGAGGGGGAGGGGGAAGGGCCGCCCAGGAGGGATCAGGCGCTTGAGCAAGGGGATGGGACTTATGTTCCCGGGAGTCCCCCTGGGAACATCTTGCGCGATAGGAGGAGGATGAGCCCGAGAAAGAAGACTAGAGGCAACGAGAAAAAGGATAAGATCGGCGAGGTGGAGAAAAGGAGGCACGCGGAATTACATTCCCGGGAAGCTCCCCGAGAACATATTTCGTGACAGCAGGAGGGGGAGGAGCCCCAGAGGAAGACAGGAAGGAGGAGGAGGGCTAGATCAGGAGGAGGAATCTCGAGAAGGAGGAGGAGGAGGAGGAGGAGGAAGAGGAGAAGGAGGAGCAGGAGGATGAGAAGGACGAGGAGGACAGACGCGCAGGACAAGGTGAGCGGCAGGAAGAGGAGGGGGAGCAGGACGAGCAGGACATAAGGAGTAGGCGGAAGGGAAAGGGGGTGAGGAAGAGAAAAAGGGGGGCGGGAGGGAGGGAGGTTCAGGGGTAGCAGGAGGAGGTAGAAGAAGGACAGGCGGAGGTTCCTGGGAACATCTTGCGCGATAGGAGGAGGAAGAGCCCGAGAAAGAAGAGGAAACGAGAAGGAGGATAAGATTGGTGAGGTGGAGAAACGGAGGCACGCGGAATTACATTCCCGGGAAGCTCCCCGAGAACATATTTCGTGACAGCAGGAGGAGGAGGAACCCCAGAAGGAGGAGGACAGGAAGGAGGAGGAGGGCTAGAGCAGGAGGAGGAATCTCGAGAAGGAGGAGGAGAAGGAGGAGGAGGAAGGGGATGGGGGAGGAGCAGGCAGATGAGAAGGACGAGGAGGACAGACACGCAGGACAAGGTGAGCGGCAGGAAGAGGAGGGGGAGCAGGACGAGCAGGACATAAGGAGTAGGCGGAAGGGACGGAGGGCGAGGAGGAGAAGAAGGGGGGCGGGAGGGAGGGAGGTTCAGGGGTAGCAGGGGGAGGTAGCAAGAGGACAAGGGGAGGTGCAGGAGTAGCACGTTGAGCAGCCGCAGCAGGAGGAGGACATGGGAAGAAAGTCGAAGAGGCAGTGTGGCGAAGAACAAAAGAAACACTCGAACGCAAGCAAAGAAATTGTGTTCCCGGCAAGCTTTCTGGGAACATGCTTCGAGAGACCGGGAGAGAGCTCCACAAGCAGGTGGGTGAGAAGGTGGAGAAGGGGAGCGGGAGGAGGGGGAAGGGGGAGGTGCGGGAGTAGCACGAAGAGCAGCCGCAGCAGGCGGAGGATCAGGGAACGACGATGGAGCAGGGCGGCGAAGAACAAACAAAACACTCGAATAATGCTGCTCCTGGCAATTCCGGGAATATGTTTATATGTCCTGAGACAGGGAGAGAGCTGGACAACCAGAAGAAATGAGGAGCAGGAAGGTGATAAGGCGGACGAAAAGCAGGGTGAGACGCAGTTGCTCAAGCCTCTTGGGGTATGCTTTGGTGTATATCGGGGCCTTTTTTGGCATCTTGGGCGGCCTGGCCATGTGGAGGGCCTCTGTGAGCTTTTTTTGTTCGCCTCTCGGGGTCCGTGCCGGAACTCCTTTGGACCGTGTTCGGTGCCTCTTGTGCCGTCTTGGGGCCCTCTTGGGCCGTCGTGGGGGCCGCTTAAAGCTCTCTGGGGCAGTCTTGGTGCGGTGTAGGAGGCGTCGCGGGCCGTCTTGGAGCGCTCTAGGGCTGGTTTTGGGCCTCCGTCCGAAGGTCAACGAGATGTCCGGGGTCGCCGCTGCCGCCTCGGAGGCCCTGGAACGCCGAAACCCTCTAAAAACACTAGGAAAGTGAACCCCGGAGCCCCCATGGAGGGCGCAGGTCCACTCCTGGCGGCCTCCCTCGGAAGCCCTGGAACGCCGAAACCCTGTAAAAACACAGGGAAAGTGAGCCCCGTGGCCCCCATGGGGGTCCGGGGTCCCAATCCGGCGGCCCCAGGTCCCGTTCCCTGGTGTGTGTGTGTGTATATATATGTATATATGTATATATGTATATGTATATGTATCTGTGTGTGTATATATATATATATATATGTATCCGCCGGCCCCCTTGTGGAGCCTCAAGGCTGTAAGGCAAAGGATTGCTGCTCCCTGCACCAGTTTCCAATGTCATAGTTCTGCTTCTTGTTGTATTACTGTTCCTTGTTGTAGACTGCGCGAGGAGGGGAGCCGAAAATCAACCTGGTTAGCGTTTCGTGGGAATGGTCTCAGAATCCCACCAGCCCTCTGGGCGTAGGTGGTTCCGGGAGTTTCCTCTTCCATCTTCCCTTCTTCCCCTTCGGGGAGGGGTTTACCCCTCCCCCTAACCCCCTCCCCTGGACTTGGACGGGGGGGGGCGCTGGTAGTTAGAGACGGCCTCGGCGAGGAAGCCAAAATCATCGGTTTTACTAAAGTTTTGGCCCCATTTTGGCCTCTTGGGGGGGCGCTAATTAACCCCACCCTCTTCTTTGATCGATCTCCTCCAAGATGGCCCCAAGAGGCGCCCAGGAGGCCCCAAGAGGCTTCCAAAAGGCCTCCAAGAGGCCCCACGAGGCCGCCATGAGGCCCCAAGAAGCCCCCAAGAGGCTCCAAGAGGCTCCATGGATGGTTCCAAGAGGCCTCCAAGAGGCTCCAAGAGGCCGCCATGAAGCTCCAAGAGACCCCCAAGAGGCCCCAAGAGGCCTCCAACAGGCCCCCAAGAGCCTCCCAAGAGGATCCCAAGCGGCCTCAAGATGCCGCCCCGAAGCACCCAAGACACCCAAGAGCCCCCATTGACCGCCAAGAGACCCCCAAGACGTCCGAAGAGGCTTCCAAAAGGCTTCCAAGAGGCATCCGAGCGGCATTCAACCATCCACCCAGCGTTATCATTCTCCTCATCCCTCCTTCGCTCGGTTCCTCGCCACCCCCTCATCTATCCATCTGGCCTCCTTTTCCGCCTCATCCTTTGCACGGATCGGCTGTCCCTCTCGTTGCTCCCCCACTTCGCTGATCTCTTCAACTTGCCTGGACATCGTTTCTGGATGGGCTGGTGGGGACACGCGAAGCGAGAAGAATTTCTGAGGGGGGTCGAAATTGACACCCCTCACGCAGATCCGCGGAGTCAGGGTCGAAAAACCAATGAAATTTGCAACACTTCTGAAATTCGGCGGCACCCCTCACGCAGATCGGCGGAGTCAGGATCGAAAAACCATCGGGATTTACCACATTTCTGAAATCCGGTGGCACTTCTCACGCAGATCGGTGGGGCCAGGGTCAACAAAAACACATGGGACTGGCAACATTTCAATACTTCGTAGAAAACATCTGTGCACAGCATACGCGAGGAAGCTCGAAATACAACTCCGAATTCAACAATATCATCAAAATCTCAATTTGTCGTGGGGATTACTCATCGTCTTCGCGTGATTTCCCGACGCTGCTTCACGGCGGCACCAAGACCTCATGATTTCGCTCTTGCATTGCCCATTATCCGGGAGAGGGGGCCGGCGGCAGAGGGCGATATGATATAATACAGGATACCTTTCGAAATTATGCCATAGTGTACAATATCGTCTACAATACGATATGCCACTAGATATTATAGTATGTGATGTTGCGTTGTACGTTAGGTTAATACGATTCAGTGCGATGTATTGTGTTGCCTTACGTTATACGGCTCCCTAGTATAGTATCATGTGATAAGATGTCTTGTATCAGTTCATGATATGTTGTCTATGCTAAATTTGAATGTTGCATGTTCAATTATGATATATGAGAACACATAACGTTACCGTGTTGTATAACATAGCTTACCATGCTGTTTCTAGTATGACGTGCTATGTTAAATGATCAAATATTCGTCAATAACAACATGCAACCCTATTACAATATGACACGGTGTGGAATACTATGCTACGTTACGCCATGTTTACAATCTGTTTGTATCATGCTAAAACATAGTATACAGTATTGAGTTACATTACTTGTGTTATTGCATACTAAACTATAGACTACTGGATTGAGACATCCCGCATGACATGGTAGTACACGTGTAATATATGACTGGATCATACTGTACTGCATTATTTCGAGTATCCAATGTTATAGTACACCACGGTAGAATGTATCATACGTTATGATACATTAATCGGTGATCATACGGTTAAAAATAACCGTGCACCATGATATCTTACGTTACACTATATTAGAGTGTAGTATGTGGTGGGCTAGTGTATGATGTTATATATAGATCTATGTGTATATATATACATATATATACATATATATGTACATGTGTTGACCCCCGGGGCCAAAACATATCCGTATATCCACCGCCTGGGGAGGTCTGCGAAAATCGAACCTGCAGGCGGTGGTTATGTACAGGTTCACATTTCGAAACCTTCGGTGACAACTCATGTGAGCTTCCCATACCGCGAATCGACGCGAGTCGACGCTAAATCGACGCTAGTCGACGCTGAATCGACGTTAAATCTGCGCTACCAGATTGACTCCCAGATGCTAATCGACGCTAGTCGACGCAAAAACTCAAAGGGTACACCAGGCTCCCAGACGCTAACCGACGCTTATAGACTCCCAGACGCGAATCCACGCTAGATCGACGCCAGCCGACGCTACATCGGCGCTACCTCATCGACTCCCAAACGCTCATCGACGCTCATCGACGCCACATGACGGAAGTCAGCAGGCTCCCCCGATTTGCTGCCCACGAAGCCTCCTCCCGGGCCCTGCGCTCCGCGTCGCCCTCGGCCAAGCGCACCCGCAGCTCCGCCTCCTCCCGGGCCCGCCGCGCCGCCTCGGCCGCCAGCTCCAGCTGCCGCCCGCGCACCTCCTCCGCCTCCTCCGCGCCGCGCCTCCGCGCCTCCTCGGCCTCCTCCCCCTCCGCGCAGCGCCGCCGCTGCTGGTCCTCCCACGCCCGCACCTCCGCCTCCCCGCGCGCCCGGCACCGCTCCTCCTCCCGCCGCGCCGCCTGCCCCGCCTCCTCCCGGGCCCGGCGCTCCGCCTCCTCGCGGGCCCCGCGCTCCGCCTCCTCCCACGCCCGGCGCCGCTCGGCCTCCTCCGCGGCGCGCCTCCTCTCGGCCTCCTCCTGCGCCGCCTCGTCCCGCACGCGGCGCCGCTGCTCCTCTGCTCGGATCACCTGCTCGGCCTCCTCTCGGGCCCAGAGCCGCTCCTCCTCGCGGACCTTCCGCTCCGCCTCCTCCTCCCATGCCTTGCGCCGCTCGGCCTCCTCCCAGGCCCTCCTCTCGGACTCCTCTCGGGCCCGTCTCTCCGCCTCCTCCTCCCACGCCTGGCGCCGCTCCTCCTCCTCCCGGGCCCTCCGCTCGGACTCCTCTCGGGCCCGTCCCTCCGCCTCCTCCTCCCACGCCTGGCGCCGCTCCTCCTCCTCCCGGGCCCTCCGCTCGGACTCCTCTCGGGCCCGTCTCTTCGCCTCCTCCTCCCACGCCTGGCGCCGCTCCTCCTCCTCCCGGGCCCTCCTCTCCGACTCCTCGCGGGCCCGTCTCTCCGCCTCTTCCTCCCACGCCTGGCGCCGCTCCTCCTCCTCCCGGGCCCTCCTCTCGCACTCCTCTCGGGCCCGTCTCTCCGCCTCCGCCTCGGCCCGGCACCGCTCCTCCTCGCGCACCTTCTGCTCCACCTCCTCTCCGGCGGGGAAGTTCGCCCCATCCCATTGGTGGCTCCCGCCACTGATGGGTCAATTTGCCACCACCGCTGCCACAGCTGCGACGGGGGGGAAGGGAGGATGGGGAGGTCCTCCTCCTCCTCCTCCTCCTCCTCCTCCTCCTCCCTCTCCTACCCATGGTAATGGTGGTGGAACATCCGCCCATCAATCACCACATCCTCACCGACCAAGAGCGCACAAAAGGGAACGCGAGCGCTTGGCACGACCGGGTGGCGAGGGCGGGGGCCGAACTCCCCTGGCACTCGCGAGTGCAGGTGGCTTACCAGTCCAAGCCTTTCCAGTGCACCCTCTTCTTGCCCCTCGGGGAAGAGCTCACCACTCCCCCCCACCTCAACGGAGCAATCTTTCCCACCTCGCTGGAGTTGGCTGGCAGTCTTGCATGGTGGCGCCCGTCCCTGACCAACTGCGGAAATAGAGACGAATCGATGATGAAAATCCTGGTTGGGCGGAGTCTCGGATTTTTAGGTCGGGGCCTCTTTGGACCCCCTTGGGGGCTCCTGTGGGGTGTTCTTGGGCCCTCATGGGGGCCTTTGAGCGTTTGGGCCCGTCCTGGGGGCGGTTTGGTGCATGTGTGAACATGGTTGTTTGGCGGCGCCTCGACTTTGATGGTTTGGTGGGGTTGGCCGGGCATCTCGGAGTTCTCTTGGAGCGCTCTTGGGGTGCTCTTGGGGTCTGTTGCATCTCGACATCTGTTGGGCCCAACTTGGGCCATAGAACAGCCTCAGAAGGTGAGAAGGCGAATCTCATATACTGCTTCAGCTGGCCTTGCCAAGCCTGAGACGGACCCATGGGTGCACTGGCCCTACGATTTGGGCGATGGGACGTGTTGGCCCAATGGAACAGGAGAAGTCCTCCCCACGGGTCTGGACGTGGGGGTGGGCTCGATAGGCTGGAGCGTCCGAGCTGGCACCGGATGCTTCTGCACGGCCACCGTGCTACCATAAGAAGCGCATACGAGGGAACGAAGACGAAGGGGCTATGCTGGCCACGCCGGGCCTGGGCCACAACACAGGTTCCACGGCACGGGTCCCAGGAGCGGTCCGAAAACCCGAGCCCCTCGCGAGCCCGGAGCGGTCCGCATTTCGGCGTCTTGGCTGGACGAAAACGCGGATGTCCCCGCCCGGCCGCCAGCACCTCTTCAAGAGGCCCCGCGGGCCGCAAGCTGGCTCGATGCTGCCTCGGGGTCCCACACAGACGCCCTCCACGGGCGGCCCAAATCCTGGAGGCGCTCAATGGTATAGGGGGCAAACAAGCCTACCTCGCTTTTGACCACCCTCGCTTCCAAGAGATACCAAGCGACGCCAAACTACGGCATGTACTTGTCAGGCCGCTTGACGAGGAGGCGTATGGTATGACTTGGTTTTGCCTGGAAGCGAAAGCGGGGTAGGTAATTCACGCTCTGATGGTAAGCAATACCAGTGCCCCCTAACCCTTTGGGAGGGGTGTAAATCCCAGAGGGCCGAAGACAATAGGAATCGGGGGTCCTTCCTGTAGATACAGACGTAGTATCCCTAATGCGACGATGGGAACCTAGGTGATGCCACGTCTTCTCGATGACTCAAGGCTGCTCGATTACTATGTTGTCCTTCTTGCCTTGCGCTTCAAACGGGCTTCTCTAAGACCTCGAGATGGCCTCCAGGAAGGCCGAGAGGGCCAAGTCATATTCAATCGCGCGCGGAGGCCAGGCGTGCCCCACAATTGGAGACGGCGGTTGGCAACCGTGCAGAAGCACACGCTCCTCTAGACACATGAACAGGCGAGACCACGAACAAGAACCATTTTAGACCATGAACAGACCATGAACAGGCGCTTTCATGTGCGATTTGTACCGGATCGAAACTCCGATTACAGAGAAAACATGCAAAAGTGGCGTGTCATGTTGGCTATTCGAACACACATTGATGGTTTCAGTCCACCTTGACTTTGAGCGTCGCCGAGGCCGCTTGCCTGATCGCGTGCCTGCAATCGCGATTCACTCACAGGACTGCTCCACATGACTCACCTTGGCAGCGCGAAGACTGCCCAAGAGAGGCTTTTCTGGATCCAAGAATGGCGACGCTGATTGCGAGGCGAGAGCCTGGCAGGCTGGAGCGGCAGAGCGGGTGCGCTGCGGCTGGTGCCGCAAGTGCTGGGCGGCATTCTGATGGCACATTCCCAGACCCCCGACGTCATGGTCTTTTTCATGACGTCGACCCGGCAGCGGTCTCGACCCATTCCCCCTGACCGGTTTCTCATCCTGAGTGGTTGTTTCACGGTCTCGAGGCCCGGTGGGGGCCCCCAGAGGTCGAAGTCAGCGGAAAGCCTCCGGTCGCGATTTTTGAATGACTCGAAGGTTTGTGGATGCCACGACACTGGACACCCTAACAGCCCAATCATCGAATTAAACATGTGTTTCAAATGTCGCAAGAATATCCTGGAAATGTTTAAATCATGTTTTTCCGTTTTGAAAACAGTTTTTACACATGTTCTAGACATATGCAAATTATTTGGCAACATGCTTCCACTCCATTGATCGTCCTCCACTATCGAAGGGGGCTGGGTTGCCGACGGCGACCTGCGTGCTGCAGGCTGCGGCCTCGGATGCCCGAAGAGAGCTCCTCGCGGGCTGCCGGCGGGGTGCCACGACGACTGGGGATGGAGGCGGGGACGGCCGACCCTGGGCGGGAGGGGGCGCCCATGCTCCACCAGGTCTGTGGATGCCACGACGATGGACACCCCAACAGTCCTACCATTGGATTGTAAATGTGTTTTAAACTGTAAGAAAACTGTTCTAAACATGTTCAAGCCTCTCTAAGCCATGCTTACATCATGTGAAAGACATGTTTTAGACATCTGGAAATGATTTGGCAACATGCTTCCTCTCCATTGATCGTCCTCCACAGCGCCAGGTGGAATCGAGCGCCAGGGCAGGTCGAGCCCGAGGTAGTCGCGGACGTGCCAAAGGGACACGATCGATGGTGAACGTTTTCTGCTCGGCGTAACGACATTGAGCGGAAAGGGGGGGGTCTGGCTCCAGGTCTCTGCTGGCCGAATGCGGCTGCTTGCAACAGGGCGTCCTACGAGGGAGACTTCCCCTGCATGGGTGGGGGGGGGGTGCGAGGGCCCGCGACGATCAGCAAGACAATGAACAAAAAAACGAGCGCATGTGCCAGCCTGTCAGCCCTGTTCAGGAGTTTGCCAAGTATCACAGGGAATGGCATGAGCACTGGAAGGGCCGGGCCGACGCCGACGCTGCCGAGGCCCTTTCCCTTGTGCAAGGCGCCTTGGATGCGGTGGTCGAGTCGCAAGGCTACTGGGCGAAGGAACTCTTCCACGTCACGGGTCCTGCTGTTGGCCGACGGGCTGCCAAGCTCGAGGCGGCCACGTGCCCGCAGGGAAGAGTCAGGCGGCGCGCAGAGGGGGACAAGGGGGAGGGGGGAAGGCCTCGTAGAGGGAGGCCGCTTCTTAGACAGTGCCGACACTACATACACGTGTATATATATATATATATGTATATAGACAAGGCCCGCGCCTTCCAAGAAACAGGGGTGCTTCGAAGACGCCTTCCCCCTACCCCTACCCCCTCTGCGTGGCCGACGAAGACACCCTGGGGGGCTGGGCTGGCGAGAGTTGCTCGAGGACGCGGCAGGCCTCCTCAATTCCATCACGGCCACGGGCCTGGCGCCCCCTGCGGAGCAGGAGGTCATGTCGGCGCAGCGCCGCTCGGCGGTGGGCGCAAGCCGATTGACCAGCTCAAGGCCCTGTACTTCGGTAGCAAGTCATGTGAGCACTGCGTATCCGTGTAATTGTGTCGCCAGCGTGCGCTAGCGTCGACCGGCGTGTGGTAATCGATGAGATGGCGCCGATTTAGCGTCGATTAGCGTCGGTTAGACGTCGATCAGCGTCACGCACACACACGCACGCACGCACGCACACACACAGACACAGACACAGACACAGACACAGACACAGACACAGACACAGACACAGACACAGACACAGACACAGACACACACACACGCACACACCCTCTGACGACAATTCGTCCAGGATTCGCCTCTGCACGGGCTGGTGGGGAGGTTATTTCGGGCGTAGCCCAAAATTGTTTCTCACGAAGTAAACTCCGACTGGCTGACTGACTGACTGACTGACTGACTGACTGACCACTGACTGGTCGCACCCGTTACGCGACGGTTTTATTCTCGGCGGCCGAGGGTTCAACCTATGGCGCAACCAATGGGAGACAGGTTGTATTCTCAGCGGCCGAAGGCACAACCTATGGCGCAAACAATTGGAGACGGTTATATTCTCGGAGGCCGGGTGCGAAACCTATGGCGCAACCAATGGGAGACGGTTTTCCTCTCGGCCGCCGAAGGCGCAACCTACGGCGCAACCAATAGGAGACTGATATATTTTCTGCGGCCAGGAGCGCAACCTATGGTGCAACCCGTAGGGAACGGTTATATTCTCGGCGGCCAGGGCACAATCTATGACGCAACCGATCGGAGACGGGTATATTGTCGGCCGCCGAGGGCGCAACCTATGGCGCGACGGATAAGCATAGGATTTATTCTCGGCGGCCGGGTGCGAAACCTATGGCGCAACCAATAGGAGATGGCTTTTTGCTCCGCGGCCGAGGGCGCAACCTATGGCGCAACGGATAGGAGTAGGTTTTAGTCTCGGCGGCCGAGGGCGCAACTTATGGCGCAACCAATTGGAGACGGTTTTGCTCTCGGCGGCCGAGAGCGCAACCTATGGCGCAACCGATAGGAGACAGGTTTATTTTCTCGGCCACCGAGGGCGGAACGTATGGCACAACCAATCGGAGACGGGTATACTCTCTGCCGCCGAAAGCGCAACCTATGGCGCAACCAATAGGAGACGGTTTTCCTCTCGGCTGCCGAAAGCGCAACCTATGGCGCAACCAATAGGAGACGGTTTTACTCTCGGCGGCCAACCTATGGTGCAACCAATAGGACTCGATTTAATTCTCGGCGACCGAGGGGGCAGCCGATGGCGCATCCAATAGGAGACGGAGACGGCTTTTTGCTCTCGGCGGCCGAGGGCGCATCCTATAGCGCAACCGATAGGAGACGGTTTGATTCTCAGCGGCCGAGAACGCATCCTATGACGCAACCAATAGGAATCGGTTATATTCTCGGCGGCCGAGGCGCAACCTATGGCGCAACCAATAGGGGACGGTTTTAGCCGCCGAGGGCGCAACGTATGACGCAACCAATAGGAGCAGGTTTTATTCTCGGCGGCCGAGGGCGCAACCTATGGCGCAACCATTCGGACGCGGTTCTGGCTCGCGAAGCACGAGGAAGAGGACGACGACGATCTGGATGGGGAGGACGACGGGGAGGACTACGAGTAGTACGAGGACAAGGTGTGGGCATTCGAATGCGTGCGGGGCTACGCCCGATTTATGCTCGCCGTTTGGGCTGGCGGCGGGGCCCAAGCGGCGAGCTGGCTTGTAATTATTTGGTCGGCGGCTTCGGGGCAGACCCGGCGCGGTCCAGCCTGCACCGGGCTGCACTTGCAACGAAGTGGGCACCCAGACGAGAGGAACCCAAGGTGCGGGAGGATGGGCGTGGGCGGGAAGGCCCGGAGGGGCGGGGGAGGCACGCTCAGGACGCACAGTCCGTGCGCGCGAGCCCCGGGGGCGTGTTGGCGGGTGCGCGCCACGAAGTCGAAGACCCCGTGCTCCCCCCGGTCCTCCAGCAGGCGGCGGCGCTCGTCCTCCTGGGCCCTGCGCTCGGCGTCGGCCGCGCGGCGCGCGGCCTCCTCTTTTGGGGGACGGACGATGACACAAACATAGAAGCTCTCGGATTTTCCTTCTCCTCCTCCTCCTCCTCCTCCTCCTCCTCCTCCTCCTCCTCCTCCTCCTCCTCCTCTCCTCTCGGAGGTCCGCGCGGATTTCTCGGATCGGCGCTGGAACCTCCCCTCCCTGGCGCGCGGAGCGCGCCAGGGGCGGCGCTGGAGGCGCAGCGCCGATCCGAGAAATCCGCGCGGACCTCCGAATTGTGATGTTGATGTCGCTGTTCGTTCCCTATCCTCCCGCTCCAAGTCCAACGCTGCCTGCGCCGCCTCGTCGAACGCCCGGCGCCGCGACTCCTCCTCCGCCTCCTGCTTGGGGACAGCAGTCGGGTCGGACCGGGACCAGTCGGGCACGCGGCTCCCCCTCGTCGTCGTCGTCCTCCTCCTCCTCCTCCTCTTCCTCGTCGTCCTCCTCCTCCTCTTCGTCCTCGTCGTCCTCCTCTTCGTCGTCGTCCTCCTCCTCCGCCTCCCCAGCCCCCCCCTGCACAGACGCGTGGCAAACACAGGCCCAGGGAGGAAGAACATGTGCACGATCGTGTTTCCCTGTCACATGCGGCGCGTGGATGTCGGGTTCCGCCTCCACGCTGCCCTGCGCCGACTGGGATCAGAGGACAAATTTCGAGCCTCGCCTTCGCGACCAAGCCGTGCCAAACGAAATGCGCATCATCGACTATAGGCAATCGAACACCCCTCGGGGGACAAAAAAGTCGGGGTGATGGTCGCATATGTCGATTTGCGTCTAATCGGATTCGCCGTCGATTTAAATGGTAACCAGCGGATGCAATAAATGTTTCTGCAGTGTGGAGGCGGAAGGTGTGTTGTCCAAGCTATGCGGTGCAACCAATATTGTGTAAGGCTTGCGGCGTGAGCTACGGCGTGTCAGCAATATGGTGCAACATGCGGTATTCAAAAAATGTGGCATCATGAACCACATGGTGCGCGTAGGATTGCAATATGAATACATGTATTTATAGGTCTATACATGCGTACTCGAACCACGCGCGACACGCGCGAACGCTTAGGTTCTAGCCGGCTGCGCAGTCGTTGCGCGTAGACCTTGCGCGAATCCACGATACCCACGATCTTGGCGCGTGGAGGTGCTTGGCCTTCTGGGGAATAGTTCCGGGCTCGGTAAGCGGTCGCGGAGCCGCGCGAGGATCGACGTGCGACGCGTCAGAACACTTCGGGCGTTTCCCAAACAGCGCAAAGGCCGTTGCTGCCACGGTGGACGAGGATGGCCTAAGTGGCCCGCGGCCGCCAGGCCGTCGCCGCCGCCGCCGCCGCGGCCGCAGTCGTCGCGACGCACGTCGCGATCCTCGTCGCGGTGGTCGTGGTGGCGGTGGTGCTGGTCGCTCGTGAACGTGATCGAACCATTGCACGTTCTGGGGCGTGTTTTGCTTTTCCGTAGCCTCTGCGAGCCTCCGGACTCTGGAGATCTGGGGCCTCCAGGGCCTCCAGAGGCCTCCCCGGGCTCTCCTGAGACCCACTCAGGTCCCCAGCTCTAGAGGACAGCCTGGGAGGGCCCAAAAGGGCGCGAAGGGAGCTCCCAAACCGCCCCCAATCCCCCAATAAATTTGATACAAAAATAACGCAACGCCGTCCTTGACGAAGAAACGGCTCGCATTTTGAATTTGCGAAACTCACGAGGCCGCGTTGATGTGAGCGGACGTAGGGCCCGTGCGGATGCCGAATGGGGGCGGGAGAAATACTAGAGAGAGCGCGCTCATCCTCCATCCTCGCGAGGTTCGAAAGACTTGAGCCAAACACGATAGCTATGCAACGCTGCGCGGAGCGTCAGGAGCCCACAAGAGACCTCAAGGGACAGGGGGGCTAGAATTCAAAAGACGGCACCCCCTACTTTAGTGCCCCGTGAGGTCTGAGATTATAGCAGGCACAGAACGGGCACCGTGCCCGCGCAGAACGCGCCCCCCCTGGGACCCCCCGCAAGAGCACCACCGAAGACGCTCCCAGAGCGACGGGCGCCGGACGGCGAACTTCGGGCGGGTGCCAAACTCGTCTCTCACGAGCACCTGCAGGCACGGGCTCATCCTCTTCCTCCTCCGGGCCTCCCTCGTGTCAAACGCTGCGGGCGTCCGACTAGCGCCGGCTGCGCTCGCGGGGGGGCCGCGCGAATCCGCCGGCCGCCTCAGCGGCCCTCTTCTCTTCTAGAGCGACGGGTGCTGGACGAAGCCTTCGGGCGGGTGCCGATCTCGTCTCTCGCGAGCTCTTCAGCTGCCTCTCCTCTCTCTATTCCGCGCCCCCTCTCCTCTCTTCCGCGCCCCCCTTTGCTTCCCCCCCCGCCTCCCCCTCGGGAACTACCTTCTCTCCGAACGGGCTCGCAGCTCCAGACTCTTCCTGCGCTAACGCCTTCCGGGGGGCAGTTCTCGCCCTGGACTTCAAAGAAGCATTGGGCGATCGCCCATCGATGGGCCCTGACTCATCACCAAGAGCCACGGCGCCACGATACATCGAGTCCGCCAGAGCAACGTTTCCTCGAAACAGATCGATCTTGGCCACGCAGTCCGAAGGCATCTCGCAGTGGGGGGCCCAAAGGATCACGGTGCCTAAGGCGGCCGCGGTGCCCAGGACTATAGCCATCTCCATGGCGTTGCGGCGATTTGCCTTTGCCCCCGCGCAGTTCCTAGCCATTGTGGCAGACAGAGATCTCGCGTCGACAACGGCAAACCCGAAGGGGGCCACTGAGAACTCGCAATCTTCGGCAAGAGAAACGGCGAATGGGAAGGCGGCCCCGGGGCTCCACCGGCCGGGCCCCCGAAAGTCACCGACGAGAGAGCTTCGGAAAACGAGCCAGAGCCACTGTCCCTCAGCGAGCGCCCCGGAGAGGCATAAAGTCTCGGCCGCGAGCGTGGATGCGACGACTCGCCTCAGACGTTGGCTTCCCCACGGCAGATTAGACACTCGGGCCATCTAATTCTCCTTAACCCGCGCCTCCCCTATCATCACGAGCCAGGCCCCCATGGGCCACATCCCATTTTTTGATGCCCCGGGCCCCCGCATCGCCGCAGGTGATCAGAGTCGCCGCGCCGAGGTCCAGGGGCCCAATCGCCAACGAAGTACAAGCCGTCCCGCGAAGAGATCGAGCGACCTTGTTCGCCATCATAATCGAGGCGACGATGACATTGAGGCATTCCGCACTGAGCACCGAGGCGGATCCAGACACATCGGGACGAGACTGCCGCGCGGTCCAAATAATATTGGCGATCGGTCCTCGATCGTCACGGAGCTCCCCCTCGGTGAGCGGCTCCCCTGGGTTCTGTGCACTTTACATGGAAATTCTTATAGGCCAGACCTGGTCGAGCATGTATCTCTCCTGGTCCACGAGAATGTGCCCATCCGTATGTTGACGAATCCTTCCCCCTGCGTACTCGGCCTCTCCGAGCTGCCACTTCCCGAAGTGGAAGCGGCGGGTCAGCTTGTCCTTGAGTTCCTGCTCGACGGCGGGACTTCAAGCGATGATGAGGTCGTCTACTTCTAGGACCACCAGTCCTTTCCGGCTCCCCGAGGGATAATGAGATGCCCAGAGACAGGGATCCAGAAAGGACCGACAACACCCCAGGGACTTCAAATGGGAGGGGAGAATATGGTGCCATCGGGTGGGGGCATCGTTTAACCCATAGACAGGGGCCACCAGCTCCAGAAGGGATCCTCGGGGAACGCCCACTCCGTCGCATGGTTCCACATAGGTTTTGCGACTGGGACGGGCAAGGGGGTCAGCCTGACAGAACGCATTCTTGGCGCCGGCAATCCAAAGGTTCCAACCCTGGCCAGCAATCAGTTGAAGGGCCATCAGCACAGCCTCTTCTTGGGGGGGAAGGGGGCGCACGCATGGAGGCGCTCGGCGTCGGGATCTGAATGCCCCCGCACGCGCCACCTGGGCGTGACTCTCACCCGGGACTCCAGCCCCTCCCGTGGCTTCCACCTTCTCACCATACGGGACGAAAGAATGCGAGAGGGCTCTCTGCGGCAAGTCAGCGAGGCGGCCTCTGGAGAGATGACCCTCGCTGCCTTGCTGGACGTCGTGGATGCCCGTTCGGACGCACCTGTCAGTCGGGGCTCTTCTCGTTCCCCGGGGGAGAGCTTCTTCCGAACGATCTCCCAGCCTCGCCGACCAGTGGCCGTCGCCTGCCGTGGCGAACGAGAGAGGGCCCTCGTCTTCTCCTTCCCTGGCCGTCAGCTCGAGCACCAGAGCTCGGCCCTGCGCAGCGGCGCCCTCGGCCCCGTGGAGTTCGATCCAGAGGCCCCCGGGGCCCCCGACCGGAACAGGAAGCAAATCGGCCCCGGGATCCCCTCCAGCGGCAGCATTTGGTGTAGGATGCTCTTGGGTCAGGACCCCCGCCCCTTCTCACTCCTGGGCGCGAGAGGCAGCCGCCGCCCCGCTATTGTTCTCATTTGGGGACCGTAAGGGATCACGTTGTGGGCCAGTAGCTCTCTCACCGGGGATCCGGAGCGGCGCGGAGGATGCTCCTCGAGGCGACCTCTCGCGAACTGAGGCCTCGGGGCGATCATGAACTTACGCGCTGGTCTCCTGGGGCCGGTCCGAAGGGCCCGTGGGTGGCCGGCCCCCCATCGCTGACGGTCCTGGGCCGTGCCTGCGGTGGTCCTTCCAGGCCTGGTGGGGAGTGCAATCTCTCCTCCTTGTTAGAGGTATGTCTCATCAGGGCTGGTCGGTTCGCTGACTTCAGGGACCTCCACATCTTCCGAGACTTCTGGGATCGAGGGAAGCGGCGAATGCGGATCCACTGGCACTTCCGCACCGAGGGGAAAAGTCCCCTGGAAGTCCTCCGCTAGCCCCGCCGATGGGGCCGACGCCTCCGGGTCCTGTCCTGGTCGTCCTGGTCATCCCAGGCCTGTTTGGGAGGGGGGCCTTTGCTTTCGACGTCGAGGGCCCCCACTCCCCCCCCGGGGTGCTTGACCTGGCCCTGGAATTCCCTGAACTCGGGGGCGTCAACCAGTTCGGCTCCCAAGGCCTCGGCCCTCGTCGCTTCCCTGACTCGTTAGGTGCTGCACTTCCAGAGCCTACTCCTCATCGCGACCCAGACGGTCGCGCCATTGAGAAAGACCGCGGCCCCGGGGCCCACCCAGCGGCCCCTGTGCAAGGCGTGTGTTTTTACCCCGACAACCTTTCTCCAAATATACACCCAGTGCATGCGTGAATGATCGGTCCGAGTGGTGTCTAGACTTGCGCGCCTCGGCTAGACGCGACTTCGGCTCTGCGCTCATCAGGGCCTTCTTGGCCTCCTCTCGGATTTGGTACCCCCGAGCAAAGGCGGCCGTCGCGGTGTCGTCGC